ATAGGTAATGGTCATTCCATCAAATCTTTTCTAATCTTTGTATAGTGCACACGACAACCTTCTTCTTCTTTCTTTTTTTTTTTTTTTATTTGTAATTTTATTCTCTCTAGATGAATGATGCCTACTTGGATGATCGTAGGACATTGAATAGCTTTAGATCAAATGAAACACGATAGATAATGGTATAGGTAATGCCATCTAATGTGGTACCATTATGCATCACCTGCATTAAATCACGTACCTTAAAATCATGAAGTTCCATTTGTGTATAATTTTATATTTTTATGCAATTCTTTAAGTCGAGTTTCTGGATGATAATATTTACTAGGCTAGGAAGTGGGCCAAACAGCACACCTATGACATCTAAACATATGGAACGTACCTTATGAACATTTCCTATTCGTTTCAATTTATTCTCAATTCAAATGCAAGTTCTTTCCCTGGTGGTGTTATGCTGATGGATTTACCTTGTTTCAGTGGAGGAGTTTTTTGTTGATTCTGTCCCTGGACAACCATCTTCTCAATCAGATGAAGAGAACCACATAGATCAAGGTGCGGCTTAGTACCTTTACTCAAAACTGTTAGGATAGGACAAAGTTAGATCAATAAAAGCATTTCTTGTTTTCTGATTAATGTTATTAACTGAACATTTGAGCATTGTAATTTAGTTTACTTGATATTAGCCGGCACCTTAGAAAGTTCCTTTTAAATTGTGCTTGTGAGACCTATTGTTGTATAGAACTTAAAACATCATATGGTCGTAGTTTTGTTCAGAAATAGATCACCTTCTTCTTCAAATTTAACTTTCCTACCCAGTCATGCAAAGCATGAGGCAATTGATTGAAGCTTTATTCTTCTGATAGCCTCTTATTTACTCTAATCTGTTGCTATTTATTTTTCAAAATAACTTGTAATGCTTTTATATAATATATAAACAAAAACAAAAACGGCGCTACACTAGAGGGGGCGTGGACTATCTTTCCCGTTAGGAAGTCCTACTACGGCTCCGTTTTGGGATTCCTAAATGGTGATTCAAATTATAAAAATATTTCCAATCGTTATTTACCTCATTACCACCCACATAAAATGGGAAAGTGCAAGAACGTGACAAGTATCTTTTATATCAAACTGTTTTTACTGGATACGAGGCAAAGAGAATGAAACCAGAAATTGGGGGCACAAATAAACAGCTAAATAACACCAACGACCGCTATGTTACACAGAGTAGGAGTCTTCACTCAAGAGTATTTTAGCAAAAAAAAAAAAAAAATTTGAAGAGAAGAAAACTACTTCACTTTATTATTCTAAATGAGGGAGAGAAGGTCCATTTCCCTCCATGAACACATACAAGATCCAATTTCCAAATGATCTGAGATCTTGATTTTTGAGTGGTCTGATAATTGTTATGTTATCAAAATCGCTAACCCTGCGGTTTTGCCACCTATAAACCATTCAAAGATCCCATTTCTAAACAATCGGGGATGTTAGTTTCAAGTCAGGTCTTGGTTATTAATAAACAAAGTTGATATATATAAAAGCTTAATGTAGCGCAAATCATCTTTCCAAATTAATTTTGAAGGATTTTTTTAAAACCTCATATTCTAAATAATATTTTTAAAAATTAACAATTGAATTGAAAGTTCTATTTGGATAAATTATCAATACTTATTTTTATATTGATTTAATATTTATAACTTTTTAATTAATAAAACTTTATTTACTAATATGTATTTAATGATATTAAGTTTTGTATAATCAATAAATTAGTTAAGTCTATTAGATCAATCTGAAAATTAACATATGTGATCTGTATGAATGAAATTTTCAATCCAATTGTTAGTTTTAAAAAAATAATTAGAAAATAAGTTTTTAGATAAATTATCCAAAAAAATTTATGAGTGACTTGCAAAACACTTTTTTCACAAATATATCTAATTAATAGTTTAGACAAGTATTGAAATTACTAAATGATCATTAATGAAATATTATATAAACAACTTTGTTAAGAATATTTTAATAAATTTATAAGTTAAATTGTACACTTAATGCACAGTCTGAACTAAAAATTTTGTTTTTTTTTTTTTTTGAAAATAGGTTATGGAAAACTAGAAAATACTTTTAGATTATTATTTCCATTCATTTTTAGTAATTTTAATTTAAGTTTTTTTTTTTTACTTTTTAAATATAAATTTTAACTAAAAATTTAACTTCTTTTATAATCAATAACTATTTTTTTTCCCTTATATATAGGATAGTATCAATAGTTTTTTTTTTTGGGGGGGGGAATTTTAGGGGAAAGGGGAATTTTTATCAAATAATTGGTAAGAGTAGAACTCCTAACATACTTGAACCCAAATTTTTAGGTTTGGTTAGCAAACCCATTAACCCAATGGGTTGGTTCAGCATAGCGTCAATATATATATATATATATATATATATTGAACATGAGAAATTAAGGAAAGGGGATTGAAAGGGGTGGGATTTGAAACCCACGCCATTAGGTGAGATATCCTTAATAACGTATAGGTAGCCACTTGGGCCACTTTGGACTTCTCCATAGCATCAATAGTTTGTTAAGTATTTGGAGGGAGAAATAAATGAGCATAATATCAAATCATCCAAAAAGTGGAGTGCCCTTCAGATTTTAAATGACTAAAATATTTTTAAAAAAAGTAACCAATAAGCAAGAATAAAAGGGCAAATATGGTACACA